GAGGGCTTTAGTACAACCAACGCTCTAGTCATCCCCTCAGTGGGAGCCGTGAGTTTAATCACACTTGGATCAAGTTACACACCCAGCCTACCGCATATTATGGGATCCACCAATTCTGCTACAGTAAGCTGACTGCTCAACCAGGATTTACTAAGTAATCAATTTAGAATCCACTAACTGACGAACGTGCTATAATTTCAGAAAACCCTGTGATCTTCAAAACACAAGATCGAAGGTCCGATATTTTCACACTTCGAGGGTAAGGTACGAGAATTAACTAGTTTTAATCCTTTCTTCATTATCATTATTCGAAGGAACCTTCGAAGGATACCCAGTTTATAAGTGAAATGCAAACGCCCAGAAAATACACTGATAGAGTGCCCAACTCAATGACCAAAGGTCCCGAGTTCGAATCCCGGGTGATTCACAACTCAAATTGGGTATGACTGGCTGATGACGGCTAATAAGCCAGAAATAGCCATTTCGGTCTGCCTTTGCTTGGTGGGATCCATTTAATCATATTCTACTAGTCGCTACGCGACTGCCTGCGCAAACTCTAAAGTGAGCTCCAGGGCAAAACAGGAACTTACATGGTTTCGCACCTAGATCCGCAATCCCCAAATATTCAGTGAAACAAATGTATGGTTTTTTCCTCGTGGGTGAAACTGCGCACTTGTTGGCGCGTTTTCATGCAACGTTACTGCAATGAATCATACAAAAGCGTGCTTCCAACACGAGAATACGAAGGAGTTTTGAGTATGCCTGATTGCTAGTGTTCGCCTATTCGGCCCACAGCTTTTCTGTTTGTGTATTTAAAGCCTGGGTTCCTTAACATTGTGCACTGTCTCGGGTGCATCAAAAATAAAAGGGATTTTCCTAGAAATAAACGCTCAAGCTGCCATCGAGCCCAACCCACTATACTGCTCCTCTTGTCTGAAATATTACGACGAATGAATGAAAAGTTGTTGCTTTTTGAGGTCATCCTCCTGATCTAGACAATGTTGGCTTGAATCGTGCCTGTAACTGTTGCAAGGAAGACGGAGAATGACTATTTCTGGCTTCCAATCGAAGTGAAAATGCGAGTTCTAGGAAGCAGACTCAGACTCAGGCAGCAGGACTTAGACTAACCTACCAGTGGCTATGATTAAGGATTCCCGACGGAATCCGAAACGTCAGGAAAATAAAATTCTTGTTTCAGTGGTCGCATCTTCTTCTTCTTCTTCTTCTTCTTCTTCTTCTTCTGTTTCTGGCTTGTTGGTCGCAGCCAGTCCTTCCTGCCCTGAGGTCAGACCAGTAAGAAGAGGAGCTGTAGGTCAAGCGTGTTGATAATTGGTCCTCAAGTCGAAAACTACTTTTAAGCCATAAGTTCAGGCTCCAATTGTTGAAACCGGGAGCCGTAAATCTACATAGTTTATGCTACTTCAGCCAGAATGGACGTATTAAGCAAACTGTTTCCCCCATAACTGCTCCGAATTATCTCTTCCTATAATTTAATTACAGTTCATGACCAGCCACTTATTGCTAGCAGTGCTACGGGGATGCTAATAACAATATGATGCAAAAGTACATAACAAACAAAGACGAAGGGGACTGGAATGGCAATTTCTGGCTCATTAGTCGTCATCAGGCAGTCATATCCAACCCCAATTGGTGCACCACTTCGGTAATGTCTTTATTCTGCCTACACTACTGGCCGCTTTGCAACTGTTGGCTAGGCTCATGAATGAGCTCCAGGGCAGGACGGGACGAGGGAAGTCTGGTAGCGATTGGTGCACATTCGTAAATGAAATATAAAGAAGAGTAAATGCATGGGAGCCGAATATTTTTACTGAATATTTAACTGCAAATTGAGAAGAAGGAGCTTGCGTGGATACGCATTTTATAGGACATTCAACTGATGGAGACTATTCATACTTAAGACTGATAAACAAATCGATAGAACATAAGGAGTCCAATCCAAATAGGACAGGATTGTACTCCGGGATAAGAGTTTATTTCTCCGCGCTCGTAAAGCAGATTATGCGAAAAATCAACAAGTCCGATAGAAAAACAGCGGTTTTTATTTGGATATTCGGTAAAAATAACAGGACATGGCAATAAGAGTGTCCTACCAAAATCATGCAAGTTATTCTACATAAAATCCCAGAAAGAGTGAATATTCACGTTTCGTAACGATAACACTAGCCCTAACCTAAACTATGGCTGTAATCTTAACCCTAACGCTATACTAGCCATTAAAATTACAATCAACACAAACTGTTGCCTTAACCTTAAACCTAAACCGAATTCTCCTGTAATTTGACGCAAGGCCACATTTATTGCGAGTGGTGCCTGTCTTTATGTCTTGTTTAGGGAGCCATATAAGTGATACTTATTCCGAATTGAGAATCTGCGCGAAATGTTGATCCGAAAAGCAGTCATAACGCTAACAAACAAGCCTTCATTTTAACGTATCTACAATTTTCCGGTATATGTAAATGTCTCTCTTGTCACGCACAGGACTCCACTAAGGTGTCCGTGAATCGACAAGAAGCGTATTATCTCTTTCCTGGTTCACCTTTGGGCCCTCGAACTTAATTATAAACTGACAGAACTGTAGCGGTGCTGCAGCCTACCTCCTTGCCACTATCGTATTCTCGCGGGGACAATTGTAGCCGCCCAGTTGCTCGACCCAGCGCGATGGCCGAGGTCTGCATGCAAGGTGTGACCTTTAGCCTCGGGCGGCTGGGGCACACGCACGCACCCGAAAATGGTCAGGCCAATCAGAATCCTGAAGCTGGCTCACTGAATGCTCGCTCTGGGCCCCTTTAACTATTCCCGCACTTCGGATCACGCCATTCCAGCGGAAGGATGTGCTCTCCGTAGTCAATCTTATTCCTCATTATTCTCCGTTTCTTTATGTACACAATATACTCCTCCCTCTATTCTGGCCTCCGCTGACTTCTCCTCCACTAAGTAAGCATGGTCTGAAGATCGCAGTTGCTGGGTTTGACTCACTTAGCCCCCTGCGATAGAACCACGATGTTAAACCCTTTTCTGTATTCATCTATTCATTTCATAGACTGCAACGTTTTCCGTCTCATATTCACTTATCTCATCTTAAATTACTGTAATTATTCCTCCCTCTTGCCTTAATACTGGTGTTTAAATACTACTCCGTTTTGTTGCTTTTGTTTTTTAACAGTCAGTTTTATTATTTTGCCATGTGATGCACGACATGTGTATTGGCTTTCATGATTATCTTTTGTCCAAATACTAGGAATTCTTACTCATTTGGTAGAAGCACTTCATTTTGCTCTTTTTTGTTCTCTAGTCAGACCTCATATATAATCACCTTTCAATCTTTCATCTACCTACTATATATCTTTCT